GGGGCTCACATGGCTTTGTTTGTTTGTCTTGAGATAAGGTCTTGCTATGTAGCCCAGAATAACCTTAAATTCACAATCATCCTGTGTCAGATTCTGGAATGTTGGGATTGCAGGTGTGTGTCACTGTACCTGACTTTCCCATATAATTTTATTCTTTTAAAAAGATTTATTTGCATTCATGTGTCTGTGTCTGTGTGTATGCCACATGTGTGGTTGCCTGCAGAGGCCAGAAGAGGGCATCATATCCCCTAGAGCTGGATTACAAGTGGAGGTGAGTGACCTGTTGTAGGTGGTGGGAACTGAATTCAGGTCCTCTGGAAGAACAGCAAGTGCTCTTAACCACTGAGCCATCTCTCCAGCCTCCATATGGATTTTTTTTTAAATCTCAAGACAGGTTTGAATTGTGAGCCTGTGTCCTCCATCCTGGGTGCTGAGAGGTCACGCAGACCACCACAAGAGCCCACAGGAGCATGGCAGGCCTGGGAGAGGAGCTAGTCATTCTGAAAGATGCTCAGATCTGAGAGGGGTCCAGGGAAGGGTTTAGGGAAGAGATGCAGGCAGCAAAACTTCCTTTGCCCTTCAGTCCATTGACATCTGCCATGGCCTACCCCAGAGGTACTCAGAGGAAGGAAGCTGTTTCATTGACTGTCAACAATCACTTTATTATGTCTTATGGTATGGTGTGCAAACTGTTTATCATCCTGATAATGAAAAGTTTCTGTTAGCAATTAGACCCAGACAATGGCACAGACTAGAATTTATGCCAGCCCCATTGAGGTGATTATCCCCAGTGAGGAGAAGGGACATCTCCCTGTTTAGAGACCTATGGCTGCTCAGACTTCACCACCACTAAAACAGCTGGTTTAATTGCATTTTGTTGAGATGGTGACCCCATAATAGAGTGTGTTCCAGCCTCTGTTTGGGCTTCTAGGAAGCTCAGCCATATTTGTAGTTGTGCCGGAATTACCAAAGGTAAACTCTGCCTAGAGCCACTGGTCAGTCTCAGATGGTTTTCTCTGTCCTAACAGCTTATTATTTCTGAAAATCCTATTGTATGAATTTTAAAACTGTTTGAGAGGATGTTTGAAGGAATGGGTGAATGAATAATAGAAGTTTGGATAGATGGATGAATAGATGGTAGATAGATGATAGATAGATGACTGATAGATAGATAGATGATAGATAGATAGATGATAGATAGATAGATAGATGATGGATGGATGGATGGATTAATGGATGGATAGATAGATAGAAAGAAAGATAGATAGATAGATAGATAGATAGATAGATAGATAGATAGATAATGATACCTGTATGCTACACATAAGGATGAATGTAGGAGGTGTGTGTGTGGTGTTTGAAGGCTGGGTATCTACATCAATGAATTTATAGATGAGTGATTAAGTATTTGGATGGATGGGTTGATGGATGGATGGATGGATGGATGGATGGATTTTTTTATTGATCAAGGATGGGCATCTGGCCAAATATTTAAATGGATGTATGCATGAGTGAATATTTGAATGTATTGGTAGATGTTTGCCTGGATAAACGGATAGGTGCCTAGGTGATTGGTGAGTGGAAATGTGATCAAATGACTTTAGATATTTATAGGTAGATATGTTTTAGCATAAACAGATAAATGGAAGAGGAGCTGGGTGGGTATTTGAGTAAATAGGCTATGTATACAGACTACAGCAGGCAGTAAATGGATGTTTGGATGAATGGAGATACAGCTGGCTAGTTATTGGGCAGATGGAAAGGTATGTACGTATGTTGTGGATGGAGGAGGAACAGGTGGAAGGGTTGATGGGTGAACGGTACTTGAATGACTGGATACTAGTTTGGCAGTACCCAGTATAAATGTACCCAGTATATATTCTACTAAGGGTAGAGTGGTTTGAATGGAGCATTTTGCCAATGGCTGACCTGTGCTGGACTGTCTAACTTATGAGAAAGGCCATGCGCTTTGAAGACCGAGAGTTCTGATCCTTGCCATGCTGCTTACTATGTGACCTTGAGCAGTTATCTAACTTTTCTGCTCTTCAGTTCGGTCAATGGTAAAGTGGCGTTAAAAAGTGGCATCAAAGCCAGTACTCCAGAGGGTTACAGAGAAGCTGAAAGTGCTACATGCCTCGGAGAAGTACCTTCAAGGGACAACATGAGAGAGGGAAAATTTTACCCAGGCATGGCAAGAAGTCCTTCCAAGTCTCGTGCCCATCATGGGATGAATTGCTAATGGCACAGGCTCTTTGGAACTGACTGATTCAGCTCCACCCCACAAGTTGGGACCTGGCCAGCTTTGCCTGAATCACCTGCATGAGGAAAGGAAGGAAGGAAGAAGAGCCTGGGAGCTGCTCAGTCAGTTCAGTGAGAGGAGCTGCCCGTGCTGACAGGCAGTGGGAGGACGTGGCTAGCAGGAAGCTTGTAACCATGTTAAAGGTGGAGAAAAATCACATCAGCTACATGTGTAGCTCCAGAGCTGGGAAGTGAGTGGTGGGAGTGACAGAATGGAGACCAGTGGGTCCCAGGAGCTGATTGGCCAGTCAGCCTAACCAAATCAGTAAGCTCCAGGTTCAGTGAGAGGGCCTGTCTCAAAAAATAAAGTGAAAAGGGCTAGGGAGATGGCTCAGCGGTTAAGAGCACTGGCTGCTTTTGCAGAGGACCTGAGTTCAATTCCCAGCACCCACATGGCAGCTAACAGCCATCCATAACTCCAGTTACAGGGGATATGATGCCCTCTTCTGACCTCTGTGGGCATTGCACAACACGAGTGAACTTACATGCATGCAGGAAATACATTCATACGCATAAAGTAAAAATAATAAATAAAATGTTAAAAAATTTAAAAAGGGAAGAACAATCAAGGAAGACACCCAACATTGACCTCTGATCTCCACATGCAGAGAGAGAGAGAGAGAGAGAAAGAGAAGAAAAATCAGACTGGAAATGGCTCAGCAGTTAAGAGCACTGGCTGCTCTGGCAGAGGACCTGGTTGGGTTCCCAGCATCCACATGGGGGCTAACAATGGTCTATAATGCCGGTTCCAGGAGACCCAACTCCCTCTTCTGCCCTCTGCAGGCATTGTATGCATCTGGCACTTACATATACACAGGCAAAACACACAGTTTTGGTTTTTGGTTTTTTGGTTTTTGTTTTTTATTTTAAGTTTAAAAAGAAGAAGAAAAAAAAAAACCCAAAACATTCTCAGAAGCTGAGCAGATGTCCAAGGAGTGTAGAAGTAAAATCGTCCCCTGTGATACGATGCCTGGTGCAGTGCAGCTGGTAAATTAAAGCTGGGCTGCATTGTCTTAGGAGTGTATATAGAAGACCTGGAGGAGAAGTGTTTAGATTGGTATTTCCAGGCTGAGGAGGAAGGTCAGAACTGCAAGCAAGAAGCAGTGATCCCCTCGGTCTGCATAAACTTCTGCGCCCTTTCAATAAACCTAAAGCCATCCACCTTCCTTTAATAGTATTTGAAAATACTAGGGGTGTTAAATATCCTGATTTAAATATTCCACAGTTCAAGCGCATTGCAGAGTTGAACCAAGCGGCCACTGTAGGTAGAGAGGTAAAGCCTCCGGACTCTGGGACCGTTGAAGAACCCTCATCATATAGCTCGCTGACTGGGTACCAGGAGTGGGCCGCACTGCCCAGAGCCTGCTCTCTGTTGTTTCTGTTCTGTTCTTGTTATCAGTCACCCTCTACTCCTTGGGCTTGGTGTCTACACTGGGTTTGGTCACCTCCTGGAAGAGTGTTGGGCTTTAGGTTCCCTGGGAATCCAGAGCTGGGCTACACGGCATTGGAATCCCACATGTAGCAGCTATAGGTGTGTGTGGCCTCCCTGTGGGAGGTTCCTTCAGAGCGCTGTAAAACTGGGCTGAGACCCGAGTCAGTGTGGGGATGGTACTGTCTGGTGCACAGGACTTGGGCAGGAAGCAGCCTATTGAATGTTAACAAGACAAGTTCCTATTCTTTCTGGAACTCTAGAACCGATAGCCCTCTGACCCCTGCTGGGAAATGTTGGAAAAAAAAAAAAGATTTAAAACAGCAGAAAGAGTGACCTTTTACCAAGGCTATTGACCATTGTTTATGAGACAGAGGTCTTTGTTATAACAAGGGAGCTGGAACAGCTGAATCCCAGGCCTCAAGCTGACAGGGAAGGCAGCTACTTGGGGGAGTTAGTGGACATTTCTTTCATTCCAGACATGACACTTTTTGGTGATGTGCAGAGTTCATTTTCCTTGATCTCCCTGCTTCAAAAGAGTTGGTTCCCAGGGGTCAAAGGACCCCACATGTTGGTAATGTTGACAGGCTTCACATGGGCCAGTCAGGTGTGAATCTGAATTGCTTCCTTCACCGTGGCAGAAATTGGAAGCCCCCCACACCAAATGTGACCCTGCCCTGAAAACTGGTAGCCAAGCCTCCCTGCAGAGCCAAGATTGATAACTCTCCAATCCCCCACAAATGAACTTCACTGAACTTGTTGAGTTATCCCCAATCGTCTCATTTCTGTTGCTGTGATAAAATACCCAGACATAAAGCAGCTTTGAGGAGAAAGGAGTTTGTTTCAGCTTACAGTTCCAGATTATATATAGTCAACCATTGTGGGGAAGTCAAAGAGGGACTTCAGACAATGAGTCACATCACAACCACAGTCAAGAGCTGAGAGAGATGAGTGGATACACGTTCACGTGCTTGCTTGTGCGCTCTCTACTCTCAAATAGCTCAAGACCTGCTGCCTAGGGAACAGTGCTGCCCACAGTGGGCTGGGTCTTCCCACACCAATGAACTTATTAAAGTCCCCCATAGACTAACCCAAATGTAGGCAATCCCTCCTCAAGACTCTCCCTAGGTTCCTAGGTGATTCTAGGTTCTGTCAAGTTGATGATAAACACCAACTACCTCACCCCTAATCACTCACATCATGGTGATTTGAGCCGTGGGAGAGGGGACCCCAAGCTCTTGCTCTGACACCTCTTATGTCCCCCTCTTTGCAGACATTGATGAGTGTGAGAATGACTATTACAACGGGGGCTGTGTCCACGACTGCATCAACATCCCGGGGAACTACAGGTGCACCTGCTTTGATGGCTTCATGCTGGCACATGATGGACACAACTGCCTGGGTGAGTGGTGTGGCCATGACCTGCCCATAGCCTGCCTGGTTCTCAGTTTAAGCACGTATTGCTGGGTGCTGTGGGGAGACGCACCTTCCTCTGGATCCTTAGTTTTATTAGATATAAAATACACAGACCATGTGGCTTCTATGACAGAAATTTATGCTCTGGCTGTTCTGGAGGCTGGAGGTCCATGATCAGACACAAATGATTTCCTTCTTTTGTGTGTCAGCACATGGTATTTCCTTCATGTGTGCATTTGTCTGGTGTCTCTCTGGGTCCTAACCACCTCTTTTCTTAAGGGTACCTGGGCCAATTGATGGCTCAGTAGGTAAAGGCACTTGCCACCAAGCCTGAGGATCTGATTCAATTCCCAGGATTCATATGGTAGGAGAGTTCCACACATGCACTGTAGCGTATGCACACCCATACAGACCACACACACACACACACACACACACACCACATTACACACTAAATAAACAAAAAAATTAAGGGCACCTGTCCATTTCTTAGTGTAACTGGCTCTTTAAAGTCTCCAAATTTAGCCATATTCAAAGATACTAGGTGTTGAATTCCTTCAACATGGGAATTTTGAGGAGGCAGAGTTCAGCCCATAGTCTTGTATACCTCCAGTTGTCCATGGTTCAAAGACATGAATAATGTCTTTGATTCTTAAGACAATTATATAAAATTCATAAGCTTGTCCATTTCTGCTGAATAACATTAAGAAAATGCAGAACAGGAGAAAACACAGGAAGCTTCTGCATTCTGTTCATGTGCCCTTGGGAGTCTTCTGTCTGCCTCTGCCTGTTTTTGCTGTCCTGTGCTCAGATGGTCAGCATGATCTGGTCTCTTTAGCGTCAGGAGCAGCTCAGACAATTTCATGCAGCCTCTGTTTCTGCCTAGTCATTCTGTGGTCTGATAAGTTGCTAAACTTCTTGGGGTTATCACAACAAATTGATAAAGCAGGCAGCCCTCATAATAGAGGTTTGATTCTCTCACACTTTTAGAAGTTAGGAACCCAAAGTCAAGGCAGTGGTGGAACTGGTTCCATCCAAGGGCTGTGGGGGAAGGTCTGTTCAGGCCTTTCTCCTGGCCTCTTGTCACCTCACGAATTCCTTAGCTTGTAGATGGCATTTTCTCCTTGTCTCCACAAGTCTTAGAGCTCTGTCTGTCTCTGTGTCCAGATTTCCCTTCCTTATAAGGACATCAGTCACATTGGATAAGGGCCCACCATGGCCACCTCATTTTAGCCTGATCATCTGTTGTGATGGTTAAAATTGATTGCCATCTTGGCTGGATTTAGAATCACCATGGAAACACCTTTGAGTGTGTCTGTGAGGGATTTTCTAGATTAGGTTAATTGAGGTAAGACAATCCACACTAAATGTGGGTGCCGCCATTCCATGTGCTAGGGTCACAGACTGCATAAAAAAGAGAAAGTGGGCCGAGCACAAGCGAGCACTGCTCTGATTCCTGACTATGGGTGCAACGTGGCCAGCTGCTTCCTCGAGCTCCTAGTGCCTGACTTCCCCTGCCACAAATGACTGGACCTCATAGAACTGAAAGCCAAAATAAATGCTTCCTTCCTTAAGTGGCTTTGGGTCAGATCACAGACACCAGAAAAGTAACTAATACATCCTCCAAGACCATTATTCCTAAAGGCCACATTCACAGTCCTGGGGCCAGGCCCTCCGGATCTTCTGAGAAGACATTATTCAACCCATTATGAGGATGATTCGCAGTCTTTAACCAAGATACAGCAACTAGTGGATCATGCATGGCACACACTTGCCTACCCCCAGACCTCTTATATCACTGGCTGCAGGGACATGGCCACTATATCCTGTAGGGCATGTGTGAGAGTTGCAGGATCATGCCTAGAAACACGTTATCTCTGTCCCTTGTCGATGGAGAAAGGTTGGCAGACATGGCCCATCACAGGCTGCTCTGAGCAGTAACCATAGTAATGTCCATTCAGCTGAGAAGCCAGTGTGGCCCAGGACTGTGAGAAGCTCATGGCATTACTGTCGCCATGGTCTCTGAGATTCATCTTCTGTAGGTCACTGTTACTACATCACCAGGCTGAGCATAGGGATGAAATGCAGACTGGCCAATGCTGAGCACAGGCTAAAGAGTCAATGAGTGGGCATTACTTTAATCCAGGTGACCTGGCCATTTCTCTGCATTAACCATCAGAATCCAGAAGTGAGTTGACTTCAGAGCTCCTGTCTGGTTTTGTTTAATGCGTGTTTGGTCTCAGATGAGTTTGTTATAGGAAACAGATCTGTGAACATACAATTATACCCCAAATAAGCACCAAAACAGAGGTCTGGACAAGAGTTACTGAAGACCAGAAGGGCCTATGAAAAGCTACCCCTGGCTGGGACGGGGTGGAAGTGGGGGGAACGGGAGCTTCAAAGAAGAGGAAACACTCAACAGGCTCTTGGGGGTGGGGCGGAGTTTGTACATCTGAGCACTGTGTGTGTGGAGGCCTGAGGGCAGCTCCCCAAGGCTGGGTTCAGGGTACACAGGAGTGGGCGACTGCAGAACCAGGCAGGGCCTTTGACTAGAGAAGGCCCAGCCGCTACAGGGCCACACCCAGGTTAAGTATTATCCAAGGGTTATCTCACTGCCCCTCCCCTGCTGTGTGTGATGCTTCCCCGCTGTGTGTAGACAGCACATTTCAGTAATTAAGTAGTCGGAGGAGGCAGTGCTCACAGTCCTGGTGGGATGTCCCATTAGATGCAGCAGTGGCACTCTGGCCACAGAAACAGATCTAGAAGATGCCAGTTTGAAGTTTAAATCTTGGCTCTCCAGTTCTGAACTGTTTGGCCTTTGGTCAGTATCTTGGCCTTTCCATTCCTCAATTTCCTCCCTACAACATGGAATGTGTCTAATCCATGTCATGTAGGCTTTGAGCCAGGGTTCAGGACATTATAGATGTCAAGTAAATCGCAGAGTATCTGGCACCAGAAATGGCGTGGGCCTGGGGCTGGTCCTCAGCTGCTGGATGAGATGTGTTGGTAGCTTTGATACCTTTAAGGCCTCATGGGGCTAGAGCCCACCGCCTGTGCAACCTGGACAGTGTCTGACACCTGGAACCCCCTAACTGGCCCTGTGCTCTGACTGTTGAAGGGCTCTCAACTCCTGCTATGGTCCAATTGAACCCCGCTAGCCTCACAGTGACGTCCGTGCACACCTTTGTTTTAACAACGTTTTCACGGTGGATTCTTTTTACACTGATGGATATGAGAGAATGGGGTAAAGCCCCTCTCTGCCCAGTCCCGCCTCTGAGCATCTCTCCAGCTGAGGACATACCTTTCTTACATACTTCCTTTGTCTGGTCTTTACACACACACACACACACACACACAGTGGGGGTGGGGGAAGGTTGGGACACAAGGCATGACATGAGCTGATGGAGGGTTGAGACAAATGACAGAGGAATAAACAGGGCTCGGACCAGGAATTGTCCAGCACAGGCTGTGGTAACCCCATTCCTCCTGAGTCTCAGCAGGGAGGCTCCTCAGACCCTCCCTTGCCTTAGTGGCCCCAGCTACAAAATGGTGGGCAGAACCAGCCTCAAGGGAGCGGTAGGCTGACTAAAGCTAGAAGAGAATGGGTAAAGTTAGTGAAGAGTTCTGGCCGGGGCCAGACATTATCACTGAACTGTAGTGGAGGTTTCAAGCTGGCAGGCCACAGCCCTCATCTGACCCACAAGCAGGGTTTGTCTCCCCACAGCGGTGGGGTTTGTTATTACTATCACTGAATGAACTGTCAACACTCCAGAATTAGAGGAAAGCACATCATAGTCAGTTCTTCCAGCCAGGCATAGTGGTACACACAGGTAATCCTAGTACTTGGGAGGCAAAGGCAAGCAAATTCAGCATTCGAGGTTAACCTGGGTTACATGGTGAGTTCAAGACCAGCGGTATTTTCAGTATCTCCCTTGTTTGGTCCCTGTGATCCCCTCATATTTGTGGGACTTGAGGACAAAGAATGGGGATGTCCCTCCCTGAATCAAGAATGTTCTCTGTCTTCTCCTTCCTTGACACACAGGCCTTCCTAGTGACCTGTAGGACTGGACATGAATTCTGAATTCCAGGACTCCCTGAACTTTGGTGCCAGAAAGTGGAAGCAGAGTCATACCTGCTCCCCTCCCCGTCTTCCCATCCACCCATCACCATCCACCCACCCCTCCACCCATCACCAATGTCAGCGCCCCTGACCTAAATGTTGGAGCTCTGGTGTTTTGCCCCAAAGTAGCTGCCCTAATGCTATGGCTCAGACCCAAGCGTCATCTGTCCCTCTGCGAACCAAGAGCTTGGGGACATTTAGACGGGATGTGTTAAGAGTCCCAAATGCCCAGGATGCAGTCTAGAGTGGTGGAACGTTTTGCCGGTAACCCTGCCCCCGTCATAGACTCCAAATCCCAGAAGGAAGCTGACAACTACAGGACAGACAGAGCAGGGCCCCAGAGTGAGGTCCAGGACAGGGAGCCCCCGCCCACTGGAAGGGACTGTATTGAGCTGCCCCCTGGAAAGAGTGTGAACAGTCTCTTCCCCTCTCCTTTGCTCACGGCAGTCAGCCTTGCTCAGAGAACTGCCCACTGTCTGGCAGGGCTTTACCCTGAGTGGTAGGTGGCTGTGAGGGACTGGCTGGTTACTGGAAGGTCCTCTGTGCACTGCTATACACAGTCTTACACCTCTGCTCAGACACCAAGCTGCAGCTCACAGCCCATCATGCACTGGGAAGAGTCAGGCCTGGGTGTTGTTTTGTCTCTTGAAGTCTGGGTGGAGAGTTTTGTTAGAGTTCTAACGTTCCTCTCTGAACCCCACTGAATTCTTGGGGACGGTGACCAGGGCAAGCACTGATCAACTTTGAGAACAACAGGGAGGTTTGAATCCAGAGTCAGCTGAGGGCTGAAGGGTCACTTTCCTGTCTGAGTTTTCATAGTTGAATGGTTTCTTGCCTTTTGGACAGGCGAGACTATTTTTCTATAG